CCTCTCTCTCCTTGTTCCATGAGCTTCATCATACCTCATCTTAAAGCTATGTATGGTTCCTGCCTCCACTGCCTCACTTGCTAGTCTATTCCACTTCCTGTGTGTGTGTTTGTGTGCTTGTACTCGCCTAGTTGTACTCAGTTGTGGTTGCAGGGGTCGAGTCATAGCTCCTGGCCCCGCCTCTTCACTGGTCGCTACTGGGTCACTCTCCCTGAACCGTGAGCTTTATCATACCTCTGCTTAAAGCTATGAATGGATCCTGCCTCCACTACATCGCTTCCCAAACTATTCCACTTCCTGACTACTCTGTTACTGAAGAAATACTTTCTAACATCCCTGTGATTCGTCTGTCTTGTGTGTGTGTGTGTGTGTGTGTGTTTGTCTTTGTGTGTTTGTCTTTGTGTTTGCGTTTGTATGTGTTTGTGTGTGTGTGTGTGTGTGTGTTTGTGCTTGTGTTTGTATGTGTGTGCATTGTGTTTGTTTCTGTGTGTTTGTGCTTGTATGTGTTTGTATTTGTGTACTTGTGTGTGTGAGCTTGTATGTGTTTGTGCTTGTGCTTGTGTGTGTGTTTGTATTTGTGTGTGTGTTTGTGTGTCTTTGTGTTTGTATGTCTTTGTGTTTGTATGTGTTTGTGTATTTGTGTTGTGTGTGTTTGTGTATGTGCTTGTGTGTGTTTGTGTGTGTATTTGTGTTTGTGCTTGTATGTGTTTGTGTATTTGTGTGTATCTGTGTTTGTATTTGTGTGTTTGTGTGTGTGGGGGGGGGGTTGAACCTCAGATCCTGGCTCTTACTCTCCGCTTGCAGCTGGTGGGGTTTCTCTCTCCTGGCTGAGTAAGCCATATCATGCCTATTCATAAAGCTGTGTTGATCTTCATCAGATCAGTCTAGGTTACTCCACTTCCTGACCACTCGTAGAAAAAACTGCTTCAAGCTGGCAGCTCTTCGCTCGTATCTGATTCCTGCCTCCATTGTTAAATTCTCCCTTGAGTTTAATTTTTATTATCGACCCCATACCCATCCTGTGGGTGGTAGTCAGAAGACTACATGTATATAATGGGCCAGAAGACTGGGCCGCAGTGTTTTGTTACCTAGGTAGAAGTGCAGCAGGCCTACTGGCCCATGTGAGGTAGGTCCAGCTCACACCCATTTGTGTATTTAACTTATTTTTAAACCTACACAAGGTTTTTTTATCGTTTCAATGACGGTACTTAGGAATTTGATCCACTCTTTCACAAGTGTATTAACAAACCAATGCTTTCTAGTATCTTTTGTTAATCTAAATTTTTCTAACTTGAGACCGCTGCTGCGAGTCTTGTTGGTTAGATATTTTTAGCACATTAATAACATTAATTTTATTCCCGTTTTCTATTTATACACCTAATTATGTATTCCCTAATTCTACGCCTTTCTAGAGAGTGCAGATTCAGGGCCTCAATCTATCGTCGTAGGAAAAATTTCTGATACATGGGATCATCTTTGTCATCCTCCTCTGTACATTTTCCAGCGCATTTATATCTGTTCTGTAATACGGTGACCAGAACTGTGCGGCCTAATGAGGCCTAACCAACGATGTAGTTGAAAAATAACTTGCGGACTTTTGTTGGTTATGGTTGCCATTTGTGGTCACAGTGGTGCATATGCTAGCCTTCCTGTGGTGTGGAAATATATACCTAGTTGGATGAATCTTATTGTGACTAGCTGGTCCAGTGGCTAACGCGTCTGTCTGAAGTTTCGAGACACACTGATCGCGGGTTCAAACCCCACCCGTGGTATGGTTCGTTTGCAATCGTGTCATTACGATTTAGTGAGTCATGGTGATATGAAGCCAAGAATTGCATGTTTTATTTCTAATAGATACTCACTGTTGTCTGGGCTTTAGATTACTGCTACTCATTGGAACGCAATATTTTTCGCAATCAGATATTAAGTGCACATTTAGTTTATAAGTATCATAATTATTGACCTTTCCAACGCATAGACTTTCTGCATCTTCACCGACTACTGGCTTACTCTGCCAAGACCTGGCTTTGATAACACGTGGCTTTACTCTCACTACTGACCTTTGTGTCTAGCCACAAACATACCAGGTGTTGCACGTATCCTTGTTATCTACTTGGTCTAGTTTCTCTATCGCATTCATTAGACCTTGGTGGGCGAAACATCGTCTTAATATCCTTTAAAAGTGGACTGTGGGTTAATATACATACCAAGGAAGTAGTATGCAATGATTTAAGTTATTTAAAATAAATCTGACAAAGCTAAAAAAAATCGTACGTATACTGTGGGAAATAAATCAGAGATAACATTGGTATAAGTAATGATCTGATAGTTGACAACCGGGGCAATTAAGAGAATTCATCCATTTAGTTAGGCAACATTTAACCCACGGAAGGGGGAAGGGGAAGGGTGCAACATTTCGTTAATAGTCTAAGATGGCATATGTGGAAATATAAACACAAATGCAGTATAATGTGATCCTTTATTGACAACGTTTCGCCCACACAGTGGGCTTTTTCAAGTCACACACGGATCTACCCGTGTGTGATCTACCCGTGGGTAGATCCGTGTGTGACTTGAAAAAGCCCACTGTGTGGGCGAAACGTTGTCAATAAAGGATCACATTATACTGCATTTGTGTTTATATTTCCACTGTGTCGGTATTTTATACCATTTATTTCCAAGATGGCTTACGCATCTCTTAATCACTTATTGTTGGTAATCACTGATAGTAACTCCCCCTAGAGAAGCGAAGCTAATTACATGTAACCTCTCACGAGAGAAGCAAATTCCACCCTCACCTCACACCAGAGAGGAAGTGAACATAACCCCCAAAGGCAGACAGCAATTGAAGGCTCCATAGCACACTGATTCTCCTCCAGTACCTCTTCCGGTTGTTAGGTACTGCAAAAAGTTCTCACCTTGGCCAGGGTCACTAGGTTACTCACTGACATTTGCCACCTACCTTCCATCTCAGACGTGTATATAAGAGGTAAGAGCACGTCTGCAGGCACAGTCTTAGCTGCTTGCTTCACCATGAAGATTATTGTAAGTTACGATGCAGTTACGATAGTGTAACGATGTTACGTTAGTAACATTAATTTGACGTTAAACTGTAGTGGGTTTAGCGTTTATTATACGTTGGTAATAACTTTATTATCGCATTGGTAATAACTTTAATCTTGCGTTGGTAATAACTTTAATCTTGCGTTGGTAATAGCTTTAATCTTGCGTTGGTAATAACTTTAATCTTGCGTTGGTAATAACGTTAGATTAGGGCATTGGCTTAAACCGGTAGGAGACTTGGACCTGCCTCGCATGGGCCAGTAGGCCTGCTGCAGTGTTCCTTCTTGTGTTCTTAATCCTGCATTGGTAACAACGTTGTGTTGACGCCAACACTATGCGTCACTACTAATGTTAAATTTAGATTAACACTAACGTTAAGTTTACGTCAATACTGACCTAGGCAACGTTTAACCCCTGTGGGCTTAGAGCTTCCCCGTGAGAATGTTAATGGTTTAAATGCTTTTTTATTTTGTTAGGCATTTTAAATTAAATTTACAAGGTTGGAAAAAATGATTTTATTGTCAGTGGTGGAGTTAGTGTTGTTTTTTTTCAGTGGTAAATTCCACTGATTATCTGCGTAGTTGGTTATTTCATTTTTTCTTCAGATCATCCATTTTTTCCAGTGGTAGTTTTTCCCCAGTGATTAACATGGTAGTAGTTCGCAGTTGTCGCGATGGCGTCTGCCCAGTTGACGAACCAGTGTCGGGTTCTCCAGTGGTAGGATACCCTAGTGGTTGATTGCTTCAGGGGTGGGTTTCTCCAGTTCGTAGGTCTTCCATTGGCGGGACTCTCCCAGTGGTCGGTTACTCTTGTAGTGCATTTTTTCCAGTGGCGAACGTCACTAGTAGGAACGTCCCAGTAATGAATTTCGTCATTGTTAGTCTTTTTTTAGTCTAGCCACTGGAAGGTTCCTAGGGAGAGGGGGGGGGGTATATCAATACCTTTAATGTACCTGTGACATTGAGGTTCTTCAGTGGCTAGGTTTCATGTGTTATAGGTTCTGTTAAGTGGGACTGATCCCTCCTCAGTGGTACATCTCTTGGTTTCTTCAGTGATTTCTCAGGGCATGGTATTGTGTTTCAAGTTACCACACTGGTAACTTGAGTGGTGGGGGTCCCAAAGAGCAAGCTCCCACAGTGGCGCTGTTACTGTGTAAGTTAGAGGAAGAAGCCATTACAATATCTTCACCCCATAATCTTCGTTTCCACATGGTGGTTCAGAATGGATTGAAACTGTCTGGCATTCCTTTAAAGTTTAACAGAGTTGTGAATGCTTCCCATTTACTGTATGCAAATATATATTTGGGTTAATTGTAGGGAATAGTTTAGGTTGTAATATCATTCAAATATAATACACAGTTTATAGGTAAACAAATAAATTTTTAGATATATATAAAGGAAAGATGATCATAAAGGAATACAATTAGAAATAAATCTGGGAACGGGTGGGATCTGAACCCATGGCAGTCCAAAAAGTCACAGGGCAGTGCGTTATTTACTGGGCCAGGTGGCTGAGATTCATTCATTTACATTTCCATATCACATAGTGAAGAATCAGTCTCCATAGGATAGTTGCATCCATTGCATTATTTGACTTGATAAAGATGTATGTAGAGTGAAAACGTAGTTAAAATAACTTGTTTTACACCCGTCTTTGTATATTATGGGCAGTACACTAGTGTATTTACTTAATGACTAATGCGATTGTTTTTCGACAGGTGTGTTTGCTTGTCGCAGCTGCCGGAATGGCATCAGCCCAGTCAGTCAGGGGCACTACTATAGTTCATAGGAGGCCTTCAGCCACGACCGTCCAGGAACCTGTTGGCGCTGCTGCTTTCTCTGCTGGTCCCTCTGTTAGCAGTGCCCCTGCTCGTGCTAGTGCCTCTTCTGCAGGTGCCCCTGCTGTTGCAACTGCTGCCGGGACTCCTGGTGCAACTGGTGGATTGGTGGCTGGACAACAGAGCCTAGGACCAGCATTCTATGGTCCAGGATTGAACAACCCCTTGGCCGTCCCTCTGAACCCCTTGGTGGCTCAACAGGCTCAGAGAATCGCTGCCGCTAACCCCAACATCAGAGTGGTGAGTCGAGACTAACTCTTATTGTTCTTAACATTGAGATTAAGTTTGATGTAACCAATACAACCTTAAGTAACTGACAAATGTTGAGGGAGAGAACGCTTAGGGAAACCTTTATTAGAACAACGTTTCGAATACCTCGAGTTTCGAACAGCTCCCAACTCTAACAATTATGTAAGTGTATTTTTGTAAGTGCTTTTGTAAGTATTTTTGGGGGTCTGAAATGGACAAATCTAATTTACATTATTCCTAATGGGAACAAATTCGTTCGGTATCGGCACTCGAACGCTTTTGAACGAATAAAGTTCGTAACTCGAGGTACCACTACTAGCCTTTCTCGTGTACAGAGATTGTGTGACCTTGATGGTACTTGGTAAAGGCACTTGTAGGTGAAATGTTGCATTAATAAAGGTCTCCTTTTGCTATAGATGTTTTAAACCAAAGATTTAATTACCCGTCAATTTTTAAGACTCGGAGTAAAATGGAAAATGGTGGAGGAATATCAAAATGAATTGAGCGAGGTTAATTTCCTCGCGGTAACAGTGGTTCCTCTTCATAACCTATAGAAATAACCCCTTCTGAGGTTAGTATTAATTTGTGAAGAGGTGTTCCTTTATAACTGAAGCTTGTCAGTTTTAACTCTGACTGTATTATACATTAATAGTATTTTTAATGTTTATTTGTAGAAGGTATATAGACCATAGGTGACATCAGACATAGTATGTAGAAAGCCCTTTATGCAGAGCATATCGGTTTAATTAGGTAAACTGTCGCAGGATGCAGCCCACACGAGTCGGCTAACACCCAGGTGCCTATTTTACCGTTGGGTGAACAGGGACAGCAGGTGTCTTGGCAGAACTCTTCGTAATGTTTCCACCTGTATTGGGGACTGACCCCCCAGGACTGTGAAAGCAGAGTACACTAGCAAAAGTTAGAGGACACTTTTGTGTTGTACTTAACAATATTTTATTGCTTTTAAACTATATATTGTATACTGGAAAAAGTAAATGGTTGTTTGGTTTTAAGAAAATAAGTGAATCTTGCACAAATAATCCGCACATAGGAGAGAGGAGCTTACGAAGTTGTCATTCTGTTATTAATCAGTATATCCTGACTGACAGCATTATCCAGTGGTTGCTGTAGTTGTGTTGCTGGTGCTGTTAAATTCATTGAATTTAGATGTTAAATGTAGGTTTGTTTATTGCTGGTGAAGGTGTCATTGTTAGTAGAGGAATTGAGTTGGTCATCTTGCTCTGGTCAAATCTAATAATCACTGACGTAGACATTTTATGACCCTTGGGAGTTTCTTTACAAATATCATGCTGGGAATGCTTTCATTTGGTTTAAATTTTGGTAAAAAGTAAATTGAGATTCGGTAAATTAGGAAAGCTAAGATAATCCTGGGTGTCAGTATGACATGTTACATAATCTGTATTTACAGTTTGTTGATGTTGATGGATCGGCACACTTTACCGACCAGTTTGGCCGAGAAGTTGAAGAGATAATTGACGAATTTGGCCGCGATGTGAGTGAAGTTTTGGATGTTCAGGAACAGCAGGAGAGGCTGCTTCGTGCCCGTGAACAGGAACTGAAGCGTCGTCGTCAGTTGCTGGAGCTTGAACTGTTACAGGATTTTAACACGAATCCTACAGCATTCAACCCGACAAGTGGTATTGCTGGAGGTGTGGGGGGTGGTGTTGGTAGCACAGCTGGGGGTCTGCCACTCGTCAGAATACGTGTGTAAATCGTAGTTTGAACTTATATCTTGGTACCTTGTTAGCTTTCTCAAGTGATGGTGTAAACTGCTGCAATTGTACTATGGGTCCCTAGATTCTGCACTCGTCTGATTGATCCAAAGCCTTGATAGTAAATCCTAACTATTTCGTCTCCTGTAATCCACAGGAGAATCATTTGTCATGTAATTCAGTGTGATTACCTATGAGTGTTGCTCCTCCTGTTACGTACTTGTTTTACTCGTGTTGTAACATGTAGGGAAATTGGTACTAGTGCCTGTGTGTCAAGTACACTGGCTCACTGTGTTCGTGATAACCTGACCCTTCTATATTTGAGTTGCATCTTCACAAGACGTATCAAGATATTAAATTCCATTAGCATATCATAAGGTTAAGTCTGATTTTTGTTGATACTTTAAATAAGTGCAGTTTAAGTGAATATTATAACATTTGTATAAGTTATTTAATAAAAGTTTAAATCAACATGAATATTTTTAACATTATATTTAGAGATTTGTTGCTTCAAGGTGGGGGAAGCTTGACGCTGGTGTATTGGGGTTTAGCACCTAATTTGATGCTGGTAAAGGGCTCTTGATCCAAGGAATTGGCCCCCGCCTCCTCCTTTTGCACAGTAAAGTTTAATACTTGCCATTCGTCGCCTGCAATATGACGCTTACTCACTGTGACCCTCGAGGCATTCAGTTGCAGGCTTTTCTCACTTCTCCCCTCCCCCTCCATGTTTAAATACTGTTTCTCTCTCACATTTTGATCCTCATACTCAATTTCTATTGCATTCGATCTCTTGGTTTGCTCTTCCTCAACTGTGCTAGACTTTACCTGGTCTGTCCTCCCGGACTAGGATGACAGCGATCATTTTTTCCAATTGTCCTTCTCGTTTGTACTCACCATCTCCTCGCAGCCCACGCAGGCAATTTGACAAAGCTAACTGGGAGCTTTACTGGTGTCAAACTGCTTTTAGTGAGGATCCATATTTGCCCTCCATTAATGAGTTGTTACATCTCTTCTCGACCTCAGTTTTAACCACAGCTTCACATTCTATACACAAAACCTCGGGCAGGCATTCTCCGAGGTGCGTGCCTTGTTGGTCTCCTGCCTATGCTCATGCATTACACTTGAAATGCGCTGCATGGGGCAGATATCTGTACAATAGGATCACAGTGCCGCCTTGATTTTAAGCTGATGAGAGAAGCCTCCCACCGTGTCATCTGTGAAGTTAAACGCTTGTTAGCGGGATTGTTTTTGCAGTCACTTTGGCTTCCTCAGAGTGCAGTCTGGAAAAAAGTATGGGAACTGAGTGGCAAATATGCCTTCGACCCAGCTCCAGTCCTTTGGGTTGCCAGTGTGTGTATAGCTAACCTTCTTGAAGTTACCACCAAAATTGGTAATCATCTTGTCTGTATCTCCCAGGGGCTCCATCTCTGCTCCTCGTTTTTCCTTCAAGTCTGCCAGAGTTGAGCCTTTAGACTTTTCTTCTAGTGAAGAAGTCTTAAAATGTATCAATCATCAGTAGTTGGGCCGGATGGCATATATATCTCTGTTCCAGCATTTACATCCGTCAGCCCTTGCGGTCTTCTTAGTCTCTCTAACATTATTTGGTCGTGAGGAGTTCTGCCCCAGCTGTGGAAACTGGCATTGTACTACCTTCTCGTAAACCAGGTACTTTGGCACATGCCTCCCACTATCGACCCATTGCTCTTACCAGTGCGGTTTGCAGGGTGATGGAAAGTCTGGTACATAGAAGTTTGGCATGGTATTTAGAAAGAGAATAGTCTCCACTGGTCAATATGGTTTTTGTAAGGGCCGTTCTATTATTGACCCCTTACTGTTTAGATACCGATGTACGTAATGCCTCTGCCAATAACCACCTGGTTCTCGCCATCTTTTTTGATCTTGGGAAGACATGGCACAGCTTGAGATGTAACATCTTGACTCGTGTTCACTCCTTAGGCCTCAGAGGCAATCTACCATTTTTCCTTAAGAATTTCTTAACTGAGAGACATTTCCGTGTTCGGGTTAGTAATATGCTTTCCCCGGACTTTGCCCAAGCTAAAGGTATCCCCCAGTGATGTCCTGAGCACCACACTTTTTCTCCTCATTATAAAGATTGGCATCTATTCTTCCATCTACTTTTTGGTGATCATTGTTGATGACTACTATACCTTGTGAAGGTGCTGACTGTCTCATTACAGTTTCTCTCCAGCATGCAGTAAACAGTGTTTACAATTAGACCACTGCTCATGGGTTTAAATTTTCTAGTACTAAAACACCAAATTACTTAAACTAAACTCGCCATTCCCTCAGGACGAGGGAGGGGGGGGGGGAGATCTCACTGTGACTTGCGGCATTCAGTTAAAGGTTCTTCATACTTCTCTCTCCCTCCAGGTTTTAAATGTGGGTGCTCCCACCCATTTTGACTCTTATTCAGTCTGTCACATTAGTCTCTTGTTTGCTCTTCATCAGCTGCACTAGACTTTATCTGGTCTGTCCTCCCAGACTTAAATTGACAGTGATCATTTTCCAATCCTCCTTCCTATTCATATTCTCCACCTCTAAGCTCGTGCTTGCAGTATGACAGTACACTGGGACCTGGACTCACGTCACTACTTCTAGTGAGAATCCTTCTTTGTCTTCTATTAATGAGCTGTTACACCTAATTACTACTTCGGTTTTGACTGCAGCTTCATTCTATACCCCAAACCTCTAGCAGGTACTCTCAGAAGTTGATAAATTAGACACATGTGCAACTCTTGGGTATCTTTATTGACGAAACGTTTCTCCACGTAGTGGCTTCATCAGTCCATACAAAGGAGAATCTTGAAGAACAGGAGGAGAATGAGGTAATCAGCCCCTCAACCTTGAGTTGATGTGTTCAGTCCATCAGTCTTGAATATTCTATGATGAAGCCACTGTGTGTCGAAACGTTTCCTCAATAAAGATACCCAAGAGTTGCACATGTGTCTTGGTAGGTAAGACACATAGGCAACAGTTAGGCAACTTTATTCCGAAACGTTTCGCCTACACAGTAGGCTTCTTCAGTCGAATACAGAAAGTAGGCAGGAACAGTAGAGATGTGAAGACGATGTAATCAGTCCATCACCCTTGAAGTCGTAGAATTTGAGGTTGTCAGTCCCTCGGCCTGGAGAAGTTCAGTTCCATAGTCAGGAAGTTCCTGACTATGGAACTGAACTTCTCCAGGCCGAGGGACTGACAACCTCAAATTCTACGACTTCAAGGGTGATGGACTGATTA